CTTGCAGCAGCCGCCATTTTCTGGAACTTCTCATAATTCACTTGTTTTCTACGTAAATTTGCTTGAGGTTGGAGAGGTGTAGCTAAAGCGGCAGGAGCCATAAACGTCAAGCACCAAACGCCTAACCTGAAAGTTCCATTTCAGGTTTGCCGTTAATGCGAAAACCCTGGTGCTAAATGTCTCTAATAACGTCCTATGACTGCAAACAACCCAAATGATCCATTTGTTCAGAACCAACCCTCTTCACAACTGAGTGTTGAACCCACTGGTGTCAGTAACACACACTCTAATTAGGCCAATCCTTAGGCTACGAGCTTTGACGTAACACTACACGGGTTTCAGGGTTTGAAATGGCAAGACTGGCTTGAAGGCGGGGGACGCCCTCCTTTTAATTGAAAAACTAAAGGGCAGGTGTTTGAGTTGGACCTGTGCTTTGTCTCTTACCGTTTGCAGACATTGATGAATTCACAGCAGTTGAAGAGGCGTTCATACTCGGCGCCTGATGAAGAAGACCAAAGCAAACATAAAGGTCAACAGATTTTGACCGACAGGAAGGGAGGATTGAAGCTATGCTATTATTTCAGCATACCTTAAAAACGGCCTCGAATTTAGTCGGTAGAAGTGACCTCCTTGATGAGCCATATGGACTCTGATTTTCAGAACATACTTTCCCCTAAAGTATCGAATGGCTACAAAAAATTTAGGTGTGCCATTAATTAATTTGGATTTGAAGTCAGAGCAAGCGAAATAAGCACTCAAAGGGGGAAATGAGTCAATTTTTTAGGGTTTGTACCGCTGGCCTCTCAGAGCCCCTATTCCATAATAGCCTATTTGGAGGCCAAGTACAACCCTCATCTTAGTCACTTGGTAACACGGTACGTAACAACTCTTTAAACGCAAATTTTTAAATCTTGAAATCCCTACATGTTGTTCTCACCGGAATTTTCTTACCCCTAAAATCACAAATATGTGCGACCCCATTCTAGCAACTCTTTTTGAAAAGGCAACCACACAACTTGATTATTTTTTTTCTCAAGTCTTCCAGTATCTTGTGTACGTAACCCAGTAGTATCCGTACGTATTAACCCGAAACAAAGATTTCATCAAATATCCTCTGTTGAATGTAACAACTCGCCAGTTAATTAAACTTTATTTTATTGCCCGCGAGTGTTTTTCCAAACAAATTTCCATCATTCCGTGCATTATATATTTCATGCACACGTAAATAAAGTTATATTTCCTGTAGCTGTTCCCTTTGTTGCTATTAATTCGAATTATCCTTTTATTTGCAGGATAATCTGTGGAATTAACGTTCCTTGTAATTTCAGTCCTATTTTGAAGGCTTTATTCGGCTTAAATGGTTGGAAATTGATCTTTCGAATGACATCAACCAATTTACAGAAAATAATGCTTCTCAGAAAGGATATTGCATGAATATGAAGAGACTGAAAGACAAACTTGACGCTCTATCCCATTTCGATGAAAGGTAATTCGTCAAAATGTAATTATCTCTCATGAGGTGGGGAATTTTTCTGAAGTATTCCTGAATAGTCTTGTATATCAACAGCCTTTTGGTAAATATAATAACAGGAAATTTCTGCGAGGACTTGGAGTCCCAGTAAACGACATTGCACTTCTTTAGGCGTTTGTTCGACAAATTTATCCTTCATTTTTACAATTTAATCTGCTGGAGCACTGAAGTATTGCCTTAAGTTGGTGCCATTGACGATTAGAATATCAGCCTTTATTCAGCTCTTACCGTTATTAGTTCTTCAGTGTTTAACGCGCCTTTCAACTCGACTTTTGATGATGCAAATAATCACCTTCTGGAAAGATGACAATTTAGCTCATAGGTCTGCCCGCTTTATATCACCACATACCTTTAGAAGCTTGATTGGTTTTAACAATTTAGAGAATCGTAATCTACAATGCTTAACTCCCATGAGTGACCAAAAGAGAATTTATCCTTATAGTATCACTGAAATATCAACCGGTAAGTGATGCGTATCAAGAAAAGCGGATCAGCTTAAAGTTAAGCAGGCTTTGTTCAACGATTAACAATGACCGTGTGTGGCTACTTTGGAACATTGGCGGAAACAGCTTTAA